TGAAGCAACAGAAGCACCAGAAGCAACAATTACAGCAACTCTAAAACACACACAGCTGTCTATCAAGCAGCTTGGAATCCAGTTATTTTTAAACCTTCTCTCTCCACCATACAAAATATTCATGAGATACAGACTAATTTTCTTTGGCCATTTTAGTCAAAGTAAACAAATGGTATCTTGTTTCAAACTGATTTAACTTTTCTGCAGCAACTGGAGGGTTTTTCTAGAACCATCGTGAGTGTTATAGAGGAGTGATTTGATAAGGAATGCTGTTGCCTGGAGGAGTGTTCTTTTTCGTTTGTTTATTTGATGTCTTTGCCCTCGGTGGAATTTTAACATTGTTTCATGCTCTAGTGCATGAATCTTCAAGATCTGTTGGGGTTTTTTTTGTACTAAGAACTTTCTCAAATTTTTATTCAAATTTAGCAGAAAAGGTCTGATTTTAAACCATAGAAAAATTATTCCATTAGATGTCCATAGATAGTATAACCTTCTATTCAGTAATTGCCATAAGATAGCAATAATACTTGTTTCAAAGCTAACTGTGAAATCTTTTTTCTGATTACAGTATAATTGATGCTTTGTCACAGGAACCAAAAATCTGTTATTTATGTTATATAATTAAATTACCCTTCTTGTCTAAGAATCACTGGCAATTTAGTTACTATCTCTTTAAAAAAGAAAAAAGGGGTAAAACCGTAGTGTGATGGTTAGCCTGTAGTTAGCAGATTTCTTCAATCAAAGCTTGGGTGCATGGACGCTTTCTATGACTTTCATAGTTATAATCCACTGTGGGGTAAGTGGCATTAACTTTTCATAAAGTCACACATCACTGCGTCCTTTTGCCCCTTCTTGTGCTGAGATACATTCCTTCAGTAGTTTTTGAGCTGTTACGAAGTGTAGAGGTTTCTTGCTTATTATGAGAGTTTGATTTGTAATATTGAAACTGCTAGACTGAATGACATATTTAATAAAATTTGCGACCTCCTATTTGGCCTTTTTTATGTAAACAGCGTGGGAAGCTCATAAAACTATTAAAAGCTTCAATTTATTTTATTTATAGAAACCCTTCTAAAGAATATTTTCTGGGAACAGGGAATGCAGTCAGGAGAAGGCATAGGAAAATGCACAGCCTAAAGCTCTGGTAGTATTTAAAATTGGTGCCTTTGCTAATCTAATATGAGCTCACCACAGATCCCAAGGGAGCTTGATGCAGGATTCCAAAGAAATTTATTAATATCCAAAGCGTGTTTTTTATAATAAAAGTCAGGGGGTTTTCTTAATGAAAAAAACCCCATGTGGTTTTTTTTATATTTGAAGAGGGCAAAGAAAATGCACAATGGATTACTTAGCATTCTGTTTAATGATTTTATTAGTTTGTATGCATTCACTTTGGTCTAAAACCACATTTGCTTTGTTCATGAACTTGAGCATCGAGCAGGATTTTTGTGAAAATGCGCAATTAATTCTAAGCGTTTCATAATTTTTATTTAATGATGTCATTATTTAATTGATTTATTTCAATTTCTTCAGTTTTAATATTAATTATAAATGTTCTATAGAGATAATTGTTAATGTTATTACTGATTTTTCTTTGAAATACTAATTACTCTCTGGTAGTGAAATAACTTGACTGCATTATTGAATGCTGCTCTGGTAATGCTAGCTTACTTCACAGAAAAATCTGGCCTGGTCTGCTTCTCTTGCAAAGTTGCAGATACAGAAACTACAGAAGTTAGACCAAGCTACAGGAAGAAATAACACAGAGTTGCAAGCATTTTGCAAGTGTGTGAAGAGACTGAGCCTTTAAAAACATTTAAAAGAGAATGCCAATAAGGCATAAGGCAGGCTGGAGTGAGAGTAGTTCACTTAACCATTTGCTGGCCAGTCAGTCAGGAATACACCAAGCAATAATGAATTTCAACCAACTACTAGAAACAGGTATGTTAAAATCTCTGTAGTCTTGCAGCTTTTCTTCCTGAACCTTTGGGAGCACTGCATAGTGGAATGTGAGAGTACTTGATGTGCTGCTCACTTGGAGACCTCTTCCTCTGAGAGGATCTCAGAGAGGATATGATGACCGGGATTTGGTTTTTGATTCTTGCTTGTTCCAAAACTTTTTGTTTTTATAGTTTAGGCAGAATGGTGCCAATATGCCACTCCAAGCAAGTAAAAATATATAGTGTAACAACAATGAAATAGCATGGGATCCCTTTCAGCATTTAAATGTGCTGTAATTATATTTAAACAGTTCTGTAGGGTTTGTTATTTGTCTTGCCCGTGTGATACACAAGTCAAAAGCACCCAACAGCGTTATAATTAAATAACCTTTTTAATGAAATACTTTTCTTTAATAGACTCTCTGTTGTATTAGAATTAAGATATTAAGTGTACTTGACCTTTGAACAGAAAATAATAGCACAGTGAATTGGCTGTCTTGCTTTATCTAAATTATGTCAGCAGATGGCAATTTATTCAGTATCTGCAACAAGAAAGGTTACGTAGCTTAGTTGTTTCATTTCTACACTTTGCATTTCATGCATATTAAAAATAGGAAAAATATTTAATGCGTCACTATGCTGTCCAATTTGTTGACAGTATTTCCAAACATTAATAGAAGAAACCTGCATTTTGTGGTCATTACAGATCCTTCAATAGTCAGGTTTGCTAATGTTGTTAGACTGTCAATACCTCTAGGGCATAGGTCGCTTATCATGGTATATGCATGAAAGCAGGAAACTGAGGCTTATAGAGACTGAGGGCATAATTCCTGAAACCCTAGCTAACTTCTACTGCTTTGTTTATTTTAGGAACCAGAATGTGTCATCAAATAGTACAAAAAGTATCAGAACAGTATTGAAACTTGGGGCTAAAATTATAAGTTGCTATTCTACCCCAGGACTATTCTTGTCTAAGTTCTTGTCTTCTCCACTGTAAGGGCATCTACTAAATTCACCTAATTGCTTATTAAAAAAAAGTCATTGTTTCCTAAACTTAAGATGCTGACAAACCTGTATCTTGGTGAGTAGTGTGTTTCTGTGGTCCTCATCTACTTAATTCTTAGGAATTATTTTGGTCTGTAGTAAATATGGAAAACTAACAACTAACAATGGCTTAATTTCGTCCTTTTGATAGTGTTTGTGGTCTGTTATAACCTTTTTTCCCCTGAAAGATCAACATTTTGAGAAAGTTCTGGAGACATTTTCTAGACAATTCCTGATTCCAATGGAAGTTTTCATTTTGAGAATCAAAAGTAATATCCCCCCCCGCCCCTTAAAAGTGCGTACACTGATGTTATGTGAGCTGTCACAGATGTGTACGAACATAGAGCTCTTACTCTGAGTTGTGTGCTATTAGGTTATTCTTTGTTTTTAAACAGGAGATCCTGATAAGGAGCTTAATCCCAAGAAGAAGATTTGGGAGCAAATCCAACCTGATCTTCATACCAATGACCAGTGTGTTGCTACATACAAAGGAGTTCCGTTTGAAGTGAAAGGGAAAGGAGTCTGCAGGGCAGAGACCATGGCAAACAGTGGAATTAAATAAGGGCAGAGACCATGGCGAACAGTGGAATTAAATAAATAAATGGTTTTAAGAAAATTTTTGAGATGTTGAAATGGAAAGTGATGCAAGCACAATAAAAAACATGAAGTGCATGACTGAGACTCTTTTTGACTCCTTTTTGAGAGATCTAGAGTGTGTTATTCCCCCAATATTTCGACCATTGACTTACTTACCATGCTTACTCTCCTTGAGGTTATGTGTTGTCAACAGCGCTCATAACTTAATTGCCAAGGCTTGTTTGTGGAAGGGCTACAGATGGACAAGTATATTTTCTGGACACCTTAAAGGTGCAGAGGATCTATGGAGCAAGGGCATCTCATTAAGGAAAAATTTCTGCTGTATTCCTTGTGTGCTAATTGCGGTGCTAGCAGTAGGTTAGTGAAGACCACAGTTGTCCTTATTCTTCTAGTCACCTTATAATAGATTTTCCTCTTTTCTTCCAAGCAGCTTTTATATACATTATAAGCCTTTGCACCTTTGTTCTTGCCTGTGTTATGTCTGTAGTCTGCCAACAGTTGTAACAGGAGGATTAAACGATGGTGCTTCATGCCCTAAGATGTATCAGTGGACGTACTTTCATGTCCCACAACTAAGGCGTTACAATTCCATTAAGATCAGAACTGCCACTTTGCTAAAATTGTTTCTTATCTAGTCCACCTAGGTATTTCATCCCAAATGACAGGTAGAACTAAGAAATAATGAATAACAGATAGATAGCTGGAACTAGTCCAATACTAAAAAAAAAAAAATTAATCCATTTCCAGTGCTCAAACAGGTATAAAATTAGTTGATTTTTTTGTTTTGTTTTAATGTGGTTTTTATGCAATGATACTTTATACAAAAGATGCTTTGGTTTTAACAGAAAGAGCTTCTTCAGTTTTTACAATTAGAATTATTCCATAGTGATGTTGTACAAATAGTCATGTTGCTAGGGTAATAGCCTCAAATTACTTCTTTTGATTTCTGACTTCTAAAAATATGAAAATAAACATTTTGGATCAGTTTAAAATAACCCTTTTAAGTAGCTATTTAGAGATACTTCAGATATTTTGGTATATAATATTTAAGCTAATGGTTACTGTCTAACCATTGAAACAGTAAGTGCTGTTTTAACTACTGAAACAAAAAAATATTAACCTCTCTAAATTTTTCAGGCTTTGAACTTCATCCAATGAATGGAGAGAAAACAAAATGACAATGATATAAAATTAAAAGAAACATGTGTAAAAGAGGAGATGAACAGATTTTCTTTTCAAATGAGTTTTGTATGTGCCTGTAAACTGTTTTTCATGCATCTGGGATTAAGCAATAGTAATTAGTTCTTTTAAATGTGCTGAATAGCATTAAGCACATGGAAGCCATTTTATCTGCCTTGTAAACTACATATCCAGTAATGTCTTATGAAACAAAATCCTTGAAGTTCAAAAACTGGGTGTGATTTTAGAGCACTAACTTGTTCTAATTTTGTGGTTGAAGCTAGGATTCTGGATGCAGTAGTCTCAGGTACTATATGAAAGGCAAGTGGTTTGGTAATCTAAAGAGGTATTTCTAATTGTGTGTTCAAAGGTATTTGGAGTGAATGTTGAGTTTTCCAACTGATGGCTTCTACTTTTTTATTTCTATTAAATGTTACCTGCCATAGAAAATAGACAAATGAGCACCTGAAAGCTTATTTTATTCCTTGCTGTGTTTTAAGTGAAAGCACTTGATAATTATTTTGTCTTACAAAATTCAAGAGCTTTCTTAGGACAGTGGTTCTTTCCTCTTTAATTATGCTCCTCTGGTTGTCTAGGAAAATGTATTTATGCTGTACGGAGCTCAAAAGTGACAACAGGGAACTTGAGGCACTGTGCAAGTATGTTTCTTCACTGCATCCAGCTTCTTCTGCCTTGTCTGCATGAGTAAGTAAAACTGCAGTGAAATCCTTCCATGTGGGACCCAGAAGTTTCTGTAATGAGAAACAAATCTTAAATAGTTATCTCTTCTTGTTCCTTTTCCCCACTCCTATTTCATATATTTGGTACATTAACAGACTAGTTACATGATTTTTGGTTTTTGTTTTTTTTTTCCTGGCAGTAATCCAGTTCGTGCTATCTGAGTTGCTGAAATATCTGGGTTTTTTTCACCGTTCCTTTGACATTCACTTTCTATGGAAATGCTTGGCCATGCAGTACTAGCAGTTCTCTCTTCTCTAACTACACATGTTAATAGAATTTTTCCAGTTAAAAAATGTTCATGTAAATAAGGAAAAATGGTTGTTTATCTATGTCGCACATTAGTTTTAAATTAGTAGTTGCCATATAGCTGTATTTCTACAAGTTTTACAGCTCTTCTAAAATTGTTTAAAAAATCACCAAATCACCTTTTGTTGAAAAAATAAATGATGAATTTCTATGTAACACCGACTGCAGTTCCAGCTGTGACCCAGCAATTCAGGAAAAACACCAATGAAGTGCATCAACCTTAATAATGGGCAAGAGAGTTTATTTTCAATTTCTATAGTTTATCTGATGGAGGCGAATGGAGAGAACAAGCTGCTTTTCTTTCAGTGAGTACAGAAAATTTTAATATGAGTAAGAGATTGGGCTTTAAATTCCAGGTTCCTGGAATGCATTAATGGTAACTTCCTTTTCCAAGTGAGAGAGGAGCCAATGAGATGAGGGCATTGTTATGCTGGCCATTATTTTCACCAACAAGGAAACCTCATAAAGTTCAACAAGGCCAAGTGTGGGGTCCTGCACATGGTACAGGGTAATCCCAAGCAAAAACACAGGCTGGGTGATGAATGGATTGAGAACGGCCCTGAGGAGGATGTGGGGTTTTTTTTGGTGGATGAGAAGCTTGACGTGACCCAGCAACATGCACTTATTTCCAGTGCCTAAAGAAGGCCTAGTAGAAAGAAGAATAAACATGCTGAAATTACAACTAACTGTCAAACTACTGAAAAAGTGAGTAGCCTACCATTAGAGAGGAGAGCAAATCAAACACATTTTGAAAGCCATATTTTCATCTCTATATTTACTTACTAGGGTATTTTTGTCTATGTATGTATTGTATATTTAGATAATATCAGTTGCAGCAGAAAAAGGCTTGATGGACTGAGAAGTCCCTTCCGGTCATGGATTTTTAGAAAATTCATTTCAGTGTAAGACAGATGCAAGGTGTAACGTGCAGACTGGCAATAACTGAAACCCTTTGTTTCTTAGTAAGTCATACTAACCTGGTTCATCTGATCAGATAGGGAAATTAATATCTGCTTACCTTATTTTTTCTCTTCAAAGATGTGGATGCATGGCAATGAGAAATCTCCAAGTGAAAAGGAAGACTTTCGTTTTCATTGTGTCTCCCTTCATACCTTAACTACTTAAAATAAAAAAATTCCCCAGGAGCTTCAAAATATTTGTTTCAAGTCAGTTATGCTATTAATGTTCTTTAGCCTGAGTAAATTTATGGTAACTCCCTAGTTATTTTCTCTTTAATAGATACAGCAGTAGTAACAGTGCAGGACTAAGCTGATCATCCTTGTCCCAGGTCAGATTTTCTGTGTGATTTTTGACCCTTTGCTCTCTGCTTTAGTGCTCTGGAGAGTGCAGTAACTGACTTTTACTTGCTTTAAACAACAGTTCTCTTGAGCAAGCTAGATCCATCATGATAAAGCATGAACTGTAATTCTGAGAGAACAGCTTACTTCGATAGGTAAATTTGGTTCCTAAATTCCTTTGTGCCAAGCCCACTTACAAAAGAGAGCAGTTCCTGCCTCTCCTTTCTCAGGTTAATTGCAGTAAATGTAGCTACGGTGTTGGAGTTGGGAATGGTGTGTTTCAACTGCTGCACTGTGAAATCTTTCATTTTTGATCTGCACTTTTTTTTTTTATTTTTGCAGTCAACTCTTCCATGGCTATTGTCACCTGAAGATAAAAGAGTTGCCATTAGGGCAGAGGCTTCTATTTGTTTTCTTGTTACCTGGATGAACTGAACTGCATCGTCACTTTCATCCGGACACAGAGGCAAGTCAGCCCGCAGGACCAAGAGAGCCAGGTGCAGGCCTTCCTCCCCGAAGTGCTGTGCCAGGGCTGATCCCACCATGTCTCTCACCTGCTCCTTGCTCAGAGCACTGTGAGGGTAGCCTGGAGTGTCAAGTACTCGGACACGGAGAGCCAGCTCACAGCCATTTCTGCGCATTATCCCCGAAATCCAGCAGCTGCGTCCGAGGCTACAGCATGTAGTCACAGAGCTTGGGGAGCCACGGCTCTCAAAGTCTGAGCTGCCCAGCAGGCTGTTCCCAGCAGCACTCTTGCCAGTCTGAGTTTTTCCAAGAACAACAAGGTTGATTGTCATCTCATTGGTGTCTGCCATTGTCTATGCTTTTATCCACAAACCTGTCACTAAGTGAAGTACAAATAAGGTGTTTCAGATAACTTAAAAAAAAAACAAACCCAAACCAAACAAAACCCATAAAAATTTCAAAATTCATTCATTGTCTTTTGAGTGTTCTTCTCTGCCTGAAATGTTTTCAAGATTGTGGTGTAGAATAACATTTAGTACAAGACATACACCTCTGTCTGATCCAAGGATGAATCTTCGCTGTCCTTCCCAGTCTGCTGCTAAAAAATAACAAGACTCTGTGAAAGGTGTCACAGGTAGAAAAGCAACCTAAAAGGCTTCACTCCTACGCTGGCAGAAACTGAAGAGCTGGGAAAGAATCTGATGTGAAAAGAGATTTAGGAACAAGCAAAGCAGACAGAGCTAAGAAGAGGCAACAGACAAGGGAGGAATTGGGAAACAACTGTGGAAAACATGTTGTCGTGCAGGGAGAGTAATAGACTAGGAAGTGGAGGAAAACTAGGGGAGGAAGAAGAGAATAGTAACAAATAGGTGCTGCTGTTATTAAGTGACCACATTTCAGGATGTCAATATTTACTTCTTGCAGGGAAAAAAATAGATAATGAGGGAGAAGTAGATTTTAAAGGAGCACTTCAAAGTGGAGAACAGCTTTGAATATGTCTTTCATCAGCTACCACTGAAGTTAAAATAGACTAGTCGGAAAGGGCTTTCTAATGCAGATAATTGTAATAAATGTCAATAAAAAAAAAAAAAGAGAGCAGAAATAGCCCATGCTATAGCTTCTGATCCCATATGAAAATGAGATTTTTAAAATGTATCCTATACAGACCTAATAACACAATGGAAAATAAAAGCATAGACTGGTGAATGAAGAGTTAGGTAGGTATAATTTCCAGTTACTCTAACTGTTCATAAATAAGACCTCTCATTCTCTTTGTACTTTTCTGTAATCCAGTATCTGAAGGTGTTTTGGTGTTTATGGACTAACAGGAGTATTGGCTATTTAAATAAATTCAGACACGTTTCAGAAGGTAAAACCATAGTGGCACTTGGTAGTTCGTTTTAAGTTGTCGGTGACATCCAAACTTCAGAAATAATTTTTTTATTAAGATTCTATGTTTAGGTATTTATAGAGAAATCATGGATAATTTTGGACTGGGATTTCCTGTGATTAATATATTTAGATTCTTGCTGTGCAGTTTAAGCCTTCTCCCTCAAATTAAAGCCATGCCTAAATCAAACTTTTGAAATAACTTCAGTACAATGCTAAACATGCAAGAGCTATTAATATGCTAATTTTGTTACAGGCAACATTGAATACTGTACATGATAATCTTCCTTACTGAATTCACAGTGCAATTTTTGTGGATTTTTCAATGATCAATTTCCTTTTAAAAAAGACACCATATGAAATGGTTGTCTTCAGTTATTCATCAGTTTAGATGTGCATTGTCTACTTGTTCTGTAGCGTAATATCATGACATGGTGGACATGTATTTGTGCAATCCTTTTTAAAATCACAATCAAAGATTTGTCCTTTTGTCCTGTAAGCAACCTACCCTTAAATACTTAAATTAATTTCATATCGTGTCACTTACCTTGTTTTCACTTAAATTCCTCTTGCGAGCAGACTTCATTCATAAACCTCATGTGCAGTGTAAAAAGAAGTTCATATGTGAACTTTGAAACTAACAGCAGCAACGTACCACGCCGAGACTGTTACGTACACATGAATCTGGTTAATCTATTACTGATAAATACCCATTCAATTGGATATATTTGATCAGTAGTTGGCACTGTTGAATTTTTGCAGCTGAGCTGCAGATACCATTTCTGCAGTTACTTTAGTGATTGTACGATGATATTTTTAAAAGTTACTTGAGTTCCACCAGCATTTAAATGTGCAAGTAATAATGGAGGTGGTGGAATTACTTTGTATTACACGTTCTGAATGTGATGAGCGTGTGCACTTTCTCATTATTGCAATGAATTAATAATTGCAGTATTTTCCTAGCATAGTGTAAATACCTTGCAGACATAAAGATGTCTGCCTAACAAAGATGGATTAAAATATTAAAAAATTTATTGAGATACAGAAATTATTTGTGAGTCAGGAAGAAAACTGAAGGTTTGCACAACTGCCAGTCGTGTGCATTAGATGTTGCCTGGATCGCCTAATACTTTTCTCTTCCAAGCATCGCTATTTGCCAGGTATAAACAGGTTGTGCAGAAAGGACCTATCACTTGCTTTTTAGACAATATCCCACAAGCGGGTAAGTAATTGGTTAGAAAATAATTACAAATTCGTGCTTTAATGACCAGGTTCTAGTTACAGAATGGAAGAGTGGATGAGCCCTTCCTGTCTGTTCGCCAGGATAAGCCATCTCTCTGACTGTGAATCCTGGGGGGGGTGGAGGCACATGTTTACTCCAAGGGTACTAAGATATGTGTCATTACAGTGAGAACACAAATCTGGTATGTAGGTCATCTGTGGTGGGAGGAAAAGAAGAATATGCTTTCCAGTGCTGCTGAGGACATTGTCATCCAAAGTGGAGCTCTGTGTAGGAGCCTGCAGGTGTTGGTTTACCACAGTACCAGGGCTGTTCCTGCCTGCCACAGCAGTGAAGTGAGACTTCAGTTCCTCTAGAAGCCTGTTGTGTCCTGCTGTGGAGCCACAGGCACAAGCCATGCTTTGGCAGAAGGTAGGAGGCACCTGAGGCAACTACCAATAGCTTTCACTGTGAAAAACCTTAACAGCTCAATGCTGTGCGCAGCCTTTGTTGTCTGAAGGCACATTATATATGAAATGTATGGCAAGGTTCCTTCATTTGCTGGTGAATACAAACTCGAAGACTGGATGAGGAGAGACTCAATAGCGAAGCAAAAGGGTAGGTCAGTCTTGTAAAACTGTGGATATTGTGAGATAAAATCCACATGCTTCCTTAAGTTTACCTGTAAGTCTTGACTTTGGTTAAATTGTCAGTCTAGCTCTGTACTCTTAATTGGACTGTTCTAATGCACAATTGTAAGGATAGGTACAATTTCAGAAGAATTTGTGACAGAAAGCTAGAACTTGATTTTGCTTAGGAAGACTGTAAAATGCCTTCCCAAATGGGTGAGATGGGAGTTTCTCTTTCAGAGAAAGTTGCAGGGAGAAGATGTGAACAAGCTATCTTCCTGGTATGCAGAGAGATAGCATGTTTGCAGACATGTACAAGGCCTCCTTGGGCCAGAGAGAATGGGGGAGGAGAGAGAGAAGATACAAAAAGCCTGGGAGAAGGCAGGGCATTGCCTTTTTCTGCTGGGGGCCCGATGTGTGCAGCAAGTGGTCCTTGCATCTGAAATAAACCTTTTAAAAATCCTTCCACTGCCTTGGCATTCTTGGGAAGAATACCTGCGTGTGTTTTACCTTACAACAACAATGTCCCTCATGACGTGTGAGGTGGTATATGTCCTAGCAGTCACATTCAACTGAGCTAGCAGCCTGCCAAGGAGATAATTTAAGCTGGCATGGACAAGGATTTAGGCTACCAAGAAAGCTAGAATCCCAGAAGCAGAGGAGTGTTGTATGCAAAATGCAGCTTGCCCAGCTGGATGTAGAACTGGGGTTTTATGTTGGTTAGATGACTGTAAAATTAGGAGTAGTGTAAATGAGGCACCTCTTAAATGTGACCTAAAACTTGGCTAAACAAACTTCACCACAAAAAAAAAAAAAAGGCATTTCATTCCAGTGTTCTTATGTGTGTAATACAGTCCGAGTTGGAACGCATCTGGAAGGTCTTACAAGAGCACAGGCAGAGGATTTTAAAAACTTGTCTTCCTGGGAGGATATGACAGGGAAAAAAGATCAAACTGATTTATATGGCACTTGCATAGGCTCCTCAAATGTGGAAAAAGTTCTCCCCAAGGTGGCAGTATCAGCCTGCTCCACAGGTACTGTAAAACTCAGCTGTGGTCCCCTTGTTCTACAGTCCTATGCTGAAATAAAATACCAGGTCAGAAATGAGCGACAACATTAGAAAATACAGGATAATTATAGGACTTTTCAAACATCTCCTGAAATAAGAAATGTTAAAAACATTTGTCTCACTTTCATCACAAGAAATATTTTTACTTTACTTACAAAATGCAGAAACATTAATTAATGAATTTGAACAGCAGTAATGGAAAGGTAGCAGTTAAGAAACTGGAAGTGTTATTTACTGTTCCTTACATGATTCTTGTAAATCAACACCTTTTGTTTTCTCTAGCTTTTAAGTTGAGCCAGTGAGAATTATGAGGCTTTAGATATGAGATCTTAAAATCTACTTACTGTCAGAATATGAATTTGCAAAGAACAAGTACAGTTCCTCACAAGCTAACAGTCCCTTAGCACTCATTGTTGCTAGTGGATAAGTTATTTTTTTTGTTTGCTTTGTTTTTGTTTTACTTTATTTTTGAAATGACAGTGAGAAAACCAAGACTGAGCCTATTATAGATCGCAGACAGGAAGGATTCTTGTTATTGATAAAGGAAGCCTTGTAATGTTTCCTTGGAAATACCAAGCAAGTCTAGAGAGGAACTGTCAAGAATCTGAGGAAGTAAAATCCCTAATCTAATTGAAAATAAGCATCATTTATGTATCCAGCATCTTTATTTGTCTTCCAAAAAGCAAGGCTAAAATCATTTGCAAGTAACTATTAGTTTTGTATCTGTCTACAGAATTAACTAGAATTGCAATGCACTTCAGTCACACTACTGTGTCAACCGCTGTTCTATTGTAGTCCCTGTGATCACCCAGTTGGTTTGCACACACCCTAAACAAGCTCTCCATGATGCTTATTAGGGTACACCAAGCAGGCTAGATCTTGTAAAACTGAAATAGCAGATTTTCTCTTTAGTTGCACATGGTATCTCTTACCATGTGTCATCTTTCAGTTCCCACGCCTTCCCATCCCTTACAGCTTCTTTCCTGATGTGGGCTCTCATTTTAGCCCAAGATGATGCCATAATAAGTAATTTAAGATGTGCTTTGATGAATTTTTCTTACTTAGAGAAAACCCAGTGAGGCCATTTTATGGATTGCCACACACAGAGGCAGGCTGTTAGCCTGCCCAAACAACATGAGAAATCTAGGAAGGTATGCAGTCCATGTAGTCAGTGTGGCTTCAGTTCTGTTAGATGTGTAATTTCTAAGAAACAGCAGGCACGTCACTGCTGAGAGAGAAATGAGACAAATCTAGCGATGTTCTGCTCCTTTTGGACTGCATTCACACCAAAGCTGCCTGTGCTGATTCTAAAGGATGTCACACATAAAGTACAATAAAATTTCCTTAAAACTTTCCTTAATGCAATCCTCAGTATCTGTAGTAATTTTGAACATAAGTAACCAATTATCAGCAGTCTGCAAGATTATGTTTCTTTTTGCAGTATAGGTGGCTGTGTAGGTTATGTGCTACTACATTGGCATTGCCAAGGCGAAAGGAGGTGGGGTGTAGCTGCAGACTAAAGTTGCAACTGCACCAGCTTTTGGCCAATGTCTGTTTGTGCATCTGTGGAATCAGCCCCTCAGGTTCCTAATGTACTTCTTACAGCAGATTATGGGTTCAGGGCAAACACTGCTGCAGAAAGGCAGATCAAGGACCCACTTTCTGTTTGAAAGGAAATCGAACACAGCTATCTGAACAGTGAGAATATCAGTCAGATTTTTTTTGTCTCTGTTCTCCAAAGTAATCACCAAGAGCCATAAGATATCCTTGTCCTTCATCCTCTGCAAATAATAGGCAACTTCATGTTATAAAGCAGTATCTTTGACATGTTGATCTAGTAGATCTCTGCTGTGGAAGTAGTGTGTCTTTTCAGTTGGCAGGAGTGATATTCTTCTAAGCACTCTGCTTCTCTGTGCACTTAGAACAGCATTGTAGCAAGCCACAGGAAGACAGTCTTATTTCCTGTTAGTATGGTTTGGTGTGACATGGCTTTTCAAAATGCTGGGCAATGCATTGTGAAGTAGGGCATATCACTTTCTGTTGCATGCTGCCAGTTTCTTAAATCTCCTACGAGTCCCCTTCTCCAATTTAACTGATGTTTTTCCCCGTAGCACCATATCAATTTTTTTTTAATATGCAAGGAATGTTTTTAACATACCGTATTGTGCTATGTTTTCTCTTGAGCAGATTACTGAGAGATATTTAAACTGCTTTGCTTTCACCCATGTTGTCATGATATGTTTTCTCTAGAATAAAGGTGGGATGTAAGTCAGAAGTGTACGGGTCTGGCTATAGGGCTGTGCCACAAGGCTGACATGTTTGTGTCTGTTCACTGCTTCGTGTGAAATACGCAAAACATCCAAAGAAATAAAGGTGGTATTGCAAGTAAGACTACAGGTATGTAAATTATATTTTTAAAACAACAACAAAAAATCAGAAACTGTTGATTTCAAAGGCATATATTTGGGAAAGAGACAATAATCAGAAAGGATGAAAATACAGACTTAAGGAAGAATTCTTTTTCCCTTACACAATGTTAGATGAACTCTGTGACTGGCCCCACACATCTCCTGTTGAGACAACCTGAGTCATATTCATTCACTTTCTTGTGCTTAGTCTCAAAATTTGTCCATGTGTGTAAAAACATTTTGCCCCTGGGACAAAAGTCCTGTGAATGGTGAACATATTTGGAAGCTCAGGAAACCCAGATTTGGCTGCTATTTCTATAACACTCATTCCCTAATTCCGAGAAGCTGCACAGTTTCTCAGTTTCCTCATCTAAATAATACAGGGAGTATTCAGCTCTTTTGAAGATGTGTAGTGGGAGTGATTTAGCTGAAGGGAACGGATTTCTGTACGGCAATAACAGTATTGCTTTCATTTAAAGGAAAAAAAATGTATTTTTATCGTATTGTACAATGCTCTGTAGGGACCCAAATAATTTAAGACATGCTTTCCAAAAATATTCCCATGATGCCTGGAAAGGGTAT